ATTAAATATCAGACACTCTACAGATACAGACCTATCGACTGCCAACGGCAAATTGAAATTGCTAACTTACAGAACATAAAGACGCGTACAGACTTGTTGCGTAATCGCATATCGTATAATATCAACGTTGCGTATCAGTTCAATGTCACGCATCGCTGATATGGTGCGTTAATGTGAAGGTTGCAAGTATAATTCTTTCGCCAGCAGAGTCTTTGATCTCGAAAACCTCGTGACTACATAAACGAGATAGATATACACATATGTATAATAGTTTACTATAAGCTAATATTAGCGAACATTTGCTAATCTGTAACTATTGGATATTTCGTCCAGTAACAACCACTTCGCCGGCATTTGAATACAATGATTACACAAACATAAAACCTGTAACGTTGCTTCGCTATTTAGCTAAGAATGAGTGTATATTAAAAGAAATTATATTAAAAACTATTAAGTGAAACGTGGGTAATAATACAACTAAATACAACTAAATAACAACTGTTAGATGTAAAAAATTTTATATTCATATAAAAAATGGAAAGCAACATGAAAGCTTAATATTTTTATAAGTCCCAAGTTTTTTACTTTATTATTAGCATAAAATTGTTTCTCGTAAAGTTGATACGTTAAAAACATTATCATACTGAAGCATCATATTGAAGATATTCTTCATGTATTGAGAGCTAAAAAACAGGAAAAATTAATTATATTTTTATTTTCTCTCAACTTTTATTTTTTTTACAGTAATCATTAATTACTACTACGGTAAAAATTCTCCTAATAAGCGGTATAGGTTTTACAATAACTGTTATAGACACAATAACAAATACAGTTTGATAGTTAAAATTTGTTTTCAAACCCTGTATCGGAGAAGTATTGTATTGTTTTTTAATCATTAAAGATTACAAGTACTGATTTCAGGATAATATTTGAAACAAAAAAAAGATTTTTTTTTATTTTCTTTTTTTTTTGAAATTTTTATAATTCTATCTATTTTCATTATTTTTATCATATATACTAAATTTTATCAATTTATTTTTTAATTTATTTTAATTGTGTAATGTTTTACAATATATAAAGACGCATTTGATACAACGGGATTAAAATCTAAGATTCCGGCTTAATTTGCTAATGCTAAACGAATGATTACGATATAATGCAAGTTATTGATGCAGTGTACAGAAACTAATTGATCCCGTATATCTAAGATTATGCGATAGAACGAATACTAAAAATAGTAATGATAGTTATTTGTAATAAATATAGTAATGGTTATAGAAACGCACATTATTGAATAATGAAACTTTTCAGTAATTATTTATTCTTTCAAACAATACTGTTTATTATCTTGATCTTTAGATGTCACTATATGTATCAACTGACATTACATTTTTAGGAAGTATTTGTGTGTTAATATTAAAAGTTGGAATAAATGAAAATTCAAAGACAATTACTGTCTTGCAATTCTCAATATGTCCTTATAGATGTCCCTAATAGACTCCCCAGTGGGCTGGATGATAAGCTGCGTAATCTGCAATTAAGTAATATGCAAAATAATTTTCCTATATTTATTAGGAAGCAAGTATGTCAACAAGAGTTTGAACCTGAACTTCCGGTCGTGTTCCAAGAACGTAAATGATAGCATCCGCTATGTCTGACGGTTGAAAATCTGTTTTCTTGAAGGAGACTCCCTTTGCCTTCGAATGATCAAATTTATTTGTTTTTACAGAACTAGGACTAATGGTCTGAAAAAACCAAACAAGTAAGTGCTTATAATCTGCATTGATAAAAGAAGCAGGTAAATGTTTACTTTTACACAGTCAGCCCCAAATGACTTCTGACTGACTTTGACCTAAATCTTGACTCTTAAGGAGTGACTATCAAGAAGCCATCGCTCGTTATTCCTTAAAAAGTTATTAACAAAATAAGTAACAAAAGAAATAATCCCAATGGGAGGGTTGGGGGGGCTCCGCCCCCCCCCCCCAGTAGGTAGT